AACGGGCACAAACTGAAGCAGAGGAAGCTCCGTCTGAACATGAGGAAGAACTTCTTCACTCTGAGGGTGCCAGAGCACTGGGACAGGCTGCCTAGGGAGGTTGTGAAGTCTCCTTCTCTGGAGATATTCAAGACCTGCCTGGACGAGGTCCTGTGCAGCCTACTGTAGGTGATCCTGTTTCAGCAGGGGGGTTGGACTAGATGACCCACAGAGGTCCCTTCCAACCCCAAACATTCTGTGATTCTGTGATTCTTCCACAAGCCAGGGACTCTGTACCTTCCTCACTTGTTTCTTGTCTTTCCAAAGAGCTTTTCCAGAGGTTTTCATTTCTGCACACTGACTATTACCTGACATTATACGCCTTAGGTTCAGCTGTGGTTAGTAGGAAGTCATGAAGGTGACACAGCCTTCCTGTGTACTCACATCCAAGGTTTTTATGTCATCTGTTTAGCAGTGCTTAAGGCTGCACATCTCAAAATTCATTTTCAGGTATTTTCTGCCTCCAGAAGGCCTCTGTACCTTTGGAGCTGAAAATTGTCTTCAGGTGGTACTTGCTGAAATATTTTCCTAGTCGCACCTGTTTTGGTCCTTGATAGGTCTGTGACTTACCATGGCCACCAACACTTCTGGTCCTAAAGCCAATGCTAAAGCTTTTTGCTGTTTTGCAGGGTATACACAAGGATTTAACACTTTGCCCATTGGCCTCAGACTGGGCAGACCCAGTCTCAGTCTGGACTGACAACCCACATTCACCCTGCCAGTGTGGAGCTTTCTTCTGTTTCGTACATTATCCTGTGGTTCCTATGGCCTGTGCCTGCACCCTGTAAACACTCTATGGCCCTTGTTCAGGGAAGGCAGAAATGCTGTAGCAGGAGGGTGGTGACAAGGAAAACTCTCCTAATCCTCTGCTACATCTGGTGCTGCTTTATATTCTGCAAGTTGCCAAGAAGAGTTGCAACACTACAGGCTTTCACTATCGTGTGCAAGTAGTATTCACAGGTAGTGCTGGTAAAGAATGACTGGCCACGTCTTTGCTGAGTGCTGTACTGTTAAACAGCCAGGTTTTGATCTACTGCACTGTGCCTGGATCCTCCTGAATTGTTCTGGTTCTGGCCAGGAACAGCATATGGAATGATTTTTTAGCATAGAGAATTTTTAAGATGTTCTCAGCTGCTGGTAGAGTCAGACATGGATGTGACATATTGTTATGGACCATCTCCTAGCCACATTGAACATGGACCCAAATTCTTTCACTGGAATAGCTGTGGCTCAGTTCATTTAGCAGTACAGTTACAAATAAAAATAATTAATAATATTTTTTTTAATTATTCCTCTTTCTGCTTCCCCTGTGCCATGTTATACACATACCCGCTTTTCTACAGCGTGCCTCTCTGATTAATAAAATGCCCACCATTTCCACTTGTGGGAAAGGACTCTAAGTCTCCTGTTCTCCTCCCTGCTCTTTTTACTAAAGCATTTGCTTTCATGACTTTCATTCCAAATGCCAACATTACAAACTACCTTGCATAACAGACAGAAAAAAAAGATGTAGTGATATGCTGCACATAGCTAATGGATACCGTCAGCCAGTCCACTGACTTACAGAAATCATACATATTTAATTGGAGGATGAGCTGGATGTGCTAACTGAGGTGCAAAGCTCAATCTGCAACAAACTTCTGATTTATTCTTTATTTTTTCTTTTCAGCAAAATCAAAAGGTTACTGTCTGCTGTCCTCTGGCCCACAACTACTTTTTCATCAGCCACCCATTCACCCATTGTTATAATTGCTTGGATTAAAATGCTTCGATTAAAATACACAGCTGCACACTGGGACGTACCACATTGCACTGCACGCTTTCTCTATATTAAGAATGATCGTCAAATCTCCTTGTCATTTTGGAGCTGAGTAACACACTGGATAAAGTCTATGCAAAGCATAACCGAAGTCTTAGTTCTCCAATGGCATAAAAACTCAATTTGACACACATCAGACTTTCCCTTTTGGAGGGAAATGGCAGGCAGTATCTTTGGGAAGAACTATTTAACAGATCTTCTTTCCAAACACGCATTTCTCTCTCCTTCCTACTCAGAGTTTCTCCCTTAGTTACAGGGTAATGGTGTTCTGCAACCAGCTAGTACAAAATCTCCATGAAAATATCTCACTACACCAAGTCCCCCAAATTTACATACATTCTAGTTCTTCCTGTTTGTAGTCTATTAGTATTACAGATCTGAATTTGGTTTTGGAGCACTCCATTGAAACTGACATTATTAAGGATTATTATTATTGTTCTCATTTGTGATGAGCCATCCAGAACAGTGCCTTAGTGAATCTCAGGATAACATTTATATTTTCCTTTATTACAACTCTTACCTTACCATTTAAGAGTGGAGTTGAACACAACCATAAAGTTCTCCAATTTTATGAATTCCAAAAATTCACAGAGGCACATTTTTGAGACAGCTTAGAAAAACCTATAGGAAATGGCCCACCTAAAGGGAGGGGAAATGAGCAAAGACAGCCTATAATTGAACTTTTTTTCTTTTCATCCCAGATGCAAAAAAAAAATTGCAGTCCTGTAACCCTTCATGTAGGACTTGTGAGAAATCTGCTGATATGTGTACTTCGTGTCCAGAAGGTAAGAGACTTCAGCTTCTTTGGGTAAGTTTTGCAAGAGGATAAAATATTCTGTATTCGACACACTTCCAGGGAATATTTTCATCAATGAAAACAGAAAGGTCTTTGACGGCTTAAAGCATAGGTAGGTAATCAGATAATCACCAGCTGAAGTCAGGCATCAGCTAGGAATTAAGCATGTGGCCGTGGCAATATGGCTACAAAAATTGTTAGGTGGATGTTGTTCCTTCTCTTTTTTTTCAGACAAAAGTTGTAGATACGATGCAAGAATTACTGAACACGGATTTATCGAGGAAGATGTACTAGATAATCCTGATGATTCCTTCTAACCTTAAAGTTCAGTGAAGGTTAAGCTAATTACTTTGGGAAATGGCTTAAAGAATGTTTTATTCATGTTTTTAAGAATCAAAAAGTTAAATTTCGAGGAAGTTGGAAGTTTTTTTACAGCCACATATTCCAGGGAGGAATCTTTTAAATATGTTTCTAATTGGTGCCTTTCCCCACCTGGGTTGCTCCTTTGCCAGGAAAATTTCTTACCCATAACACCTGTGTTTCTCTGTGCCCTCAAAAAACTTTTGGTAATGTTGCAAGCGGAAAGTGCGAGATGTGCATGGAAGGCTGTGAGGTGTGCTCCGACCGCTGGCACTGTCAGAAGTGTCAGGCTGAACAGGACCAGCCACTCTTCCTCCACAAAGGCAGATGTTTACAGGACTGCCCCGAGTAAGTAACTCCTGTTGGATGACTGCTCCTGATTTTTTCACAGTGCTCCTTCTCTTTAAAGTTCAGATTCACTATAAACCTTTCAAGGGAAATCTTAATGTGACCTAAGCTACCAGAAACTACCACATGGTAAAAATAATTTTCAGCTGGCCTGAATAAACAGCGTTTTCCCTTGCTTAGAGAAAAAGAGAACAATCGAAAGTGAAACTAGACATGAAATCCTATGACAGATGGTACAGCCCCCATTGACTTCAATAGGACCATGGTGCTTCAGGTAGGCGCTTTGCAGTGACAGAAGATAAGCCTCTAGTCATTCTCCTAACTCGTTCCTCCTTCAAAGTAGTAGAGAGCCAGGGTGTGAACCCAGAAAGTGGATGCATCAGTGTCCTGGTATGGAAATATAATGCTTAGTGATGTGTTTCTCTCTTTGGCTAATATACTTTACTTTTTCCTCTCCTAAGTGGAATTCAAAAAGAAGGATTCCCAGTTGACAGTGAAGGATATTAGATCAAGCACTTGAGCAGATCAGGTTCTCCTGTTTCCGTGCTTTTTTCATCAGTGTTCATCATGCCTGTATATACACAGAAAATCTGTGCTATGCAGTATGAAGATCTTGATTGGTTAACTCTTTCCTTACAAAAATGTGCAGCTCCTGCTTTTCTTGTGATCAGTACAAATTCTCTGGCAGTACTTTGCTGCTAACTTTGTCAAATAAGTCAATAAGGACCAGTGGAACAGATTCTGATCATCAAATGTCATAGTAAATGCAAAGTAATTGCACTAAAACCTACTCTAATCCAGAAACAAGTTTTAATATCAGAAATTGTGACACACAAGCAAATATAATGTTTTGGCATTAATCTATTTGTTCTCAGTACTCATTCCCCACAGTTATCCCACACAGGGTCACTGTAATAAAACTAAACCTTTTCATATATCACTAGTCTTTTCTGCTGTTATTACCCCCCTCTTTTCCAAATTCCAGACTATAAATAATGGCTTCCTAGACATTGTTCTGCAAAGTTCACAAGCATTAAACTATGGTTTTAGCCTCTAAGGTAAAGTTCTTGAGGCATAACTACTCTCCACTGGAGAAGAGGGCTATATGAGAAATTTTTTTAGGGTTTTTTTGAGTTTTGGGACATGCTATAGGGGATGGAAAGGGTTGACAATTATTGCACTGATAATTCCTGACAGAGGATTTTGAAAGACTGTGCTAGCTGAGTACTCAAGACTGGAACAAGAGTAGAAGACAAGACTGTGACAAACAGATGCAGGATCATGACAAAGGTTAGGATTAAAAAAGAAGATGAGAACAGATGGCAGGCACAGCTCTTCCTATCTTTTCTCTAACCTTGCTCCTAGTGCACCTCCTCAGCCTTTCTTTGGAAAGGTCATCTCCAAGAAGAAAAGCAGAAGCACCACTCTGCAGGGAAGAACAAGCTTGTTAATGTGAAGTACATGTTATGGGACTACTTTCTATGTCAGCTTCTTCCTTAGTTTTCATCAATGGCTGTATACATATGGATTAGCAATTATCTCAAAATGTGGACTTTCTTGTCCTTTAACCTCCTAACATTTTGGTTTTGAGAGTGTAGGCAGATTGGATTGCATCCAGCCTCTCCATTTATCCCTCTTCTCCTGAAATATACGTGCAATTTTTTGCCATATTTCCTTTATGACTAATAGTCCCAGCCATGGTTGTCTGCAGTTGCTCTCACACCACAGATACCAGTAAAACCATGCTCCTTCTTCACTGTCTCTAGCTTCCTGTCACTAAACAGAAGGTACTACTTAAACATACTGGTTTTGTTGCGGTTTTTTAATCCCAGCCCTCCTTATTCTTCCCAGCCTTTACACTTCCAGGCTTTTCTCTTCTCTTTCTCCCCTCTAGAGCCACTGAGGTTATATGTCTCTGTCTTTCCCCAGTATGACTGTTGAGGGTCAGCTGTGCAAGATGAGATTGCATCTTTCTTTTCCCAAACGTTATAGATCTTCCTATCCTACATAAGGTGGAAATCAACAAATGAGCAAGAAAGTCCAACATCCCTTAGAAAGTAGGTACAAGAACAGAGGAAGGCCAGACTCCCTCCATAGCACTAACCATACACCTGTTCTGCTTGCCAGCAGAGGGGATGTAAGTGGAGGATGGGCAACTAATTGTGTGAGAAACCTGTTTCATCCAGTGAAATGTGCATCCTCAGAAACTTCTGTATATACTCATAATTCTTATAGCCTGGACGGTATGATAACTGTACATTGACCGGCAGTTTGCTTTGTGTTTGTTTTCGTTCAATAGTGGATATTTTAATGATTCTGAGACTTGCAAAGAATGCAGTGGATCCTGTAAGACATGCGTGGGAAGTGCAACGAAATGCCTGTCCTGTAAAAGTCCTTTGCTCCTGGAGCAGTGGAAATGTAAACCTACCTGTTCAGAGAAGCATTTTGCCTCTGAAGGAATCTGCAAACACTGTCCTGAAATGTGTCAGGAGTGCATTCACAATCAAACATGCAAAGGTATTATGAAGAACTGGTCTTGACGTGGCTAAAATCCATCTGGATCTGTCTAGAGACAGACTGACAGAAATACAGATCTGAAAAGAAATTCTGCCATGAGCAAAAATAAAAAAACAGATGTATAAATCATTGCTAATCTCTAAGATAGAGGCTAAGCAATCGGTGCTTTATGATGAGAATCTGTCTAAACCTGTACTTAATCTGTAAAGATTTCACATTGTTTTGCCTGTTCTTGTTGTCCTTCAGAGATTCCTACTGGTTTGATTCTACTTCTGACCCAGTATATCCACGCTTAAACACTTGCATACACATTTATACCAATGTGAAATACAGAATGTTTCTTTCCTAGTTTGGTTGAACTTTACATCTCTTCACCATTTTTGTAAGTGCCTACTTATGGTAGAGAACAAAAACTCTGTAGTGAAACATACTAGGAAAGCCTTGCATATCCTGGTAAATCTGAAAACCCCCACAAAAATTTCCAGGATAGTTAATATTGAGCAAGCCATTCTGGAAACACAAACACGGATGAAATGAAAAAAAAAAAAAAATCATCATAAATAAAGCTATTAAACCAAGTACCCATAATAAAATTAGCAGCTGAATCCCAGCTCTATGCAAAGACAAACATTCAGGTCCAGATACTGCAGCCAGACTCATTTTTCAATAATAAACCAAACAAAACTTCAGATGTGGACATCCCTGAATCTGCAGAAGATTCATAATGCAGACATATCTTAGCAGAAGTCCACTTACATTCAGTGGCAGCATGGTTTGGTTAATATCAGCAAAGTTGAACAGGTGACTTGGCTTCTCAGTCTCTTGACATAACACAGAAGACGCTGTGTGATGGTTGGGCCATTATGGGCAGTTCAGAGGGGAAA